ACCAAGCCTCAAGAAGATTGAGAAATTGCCAAAGAACACAGAGCACCTACCTGAGTGAGTATTCTAACTTAGGCGGTCTTGATTTTAGAGGCTAATCTCTTAACCCTTCAATTATTGCCTCTCTACTGATTTTGTGTCTTCAAAGTTTTCCTTAAAAGAATGACATTTACATGTGAATCTTAGAAATAGAATTCCAGTCTCCATGTAAAAGGGATAAGAGGTGAGACCGGTAAACAGGTATTGTATTAGTCAATGCAACAGCATCTTGTTTTACTAAGCCAACAGTTACAAATCATTTTACCAGGCTGAATAAAGAGTATCCCTTTGTTCCAAAGGTCACAAATCATACCTCAAAATCCAAGTCAACATGCATATGCATGCTGTTTCTAACAAAAATAACCTGGTAAAAAGGTCCAGCTTATGTAGTATAAATTTACTACCCACTACCAAAACATTTCTCAAAACATATCATTTTATTAATGGTTGAATTCTTTTTTAAGTTCATAAAATTTATATTCTTGTATAAGAAAAAAAAACAAAATTAGTATTGACTCAAGACAACCATAGAAAGATGTGCCTTGGGGTGCCTGCGTAGTTCAGTGGTTCAGCCTTTGGTTCAGGTTCTGATCCCAGGGAGCCTGCTTCTCCCTCTACCTAGGGCTCTGCCTCTGTGTGTCTATTATGAATAAATAAAAATCTTAAAAAAAAAAAATGATGTGCCTTCACTGATATTTATTAGAAGTCTGATCAACTAGTATCTGGGTTTTCACCCATGTTAACAATTCCTCTGGCTTTCAGCATTATCAGTTATTACCTGCTGTCGTACACCAATGTTCAAATATTTGGTATTCTATCCACCTCACAAAGCTAATTTTTTTTAACTCATAAACTTGTGATTTCATTGATTACCAAGACAATTTCATATATTAAGTTCAGTAAATATCAATTGTCAGTAAGCATAATTATTAAAACCAGTAAATAACAAACATCTGTATAAAAATACATTTATTAAACATGTGCCAACACATATGCTATGCATGAGACTAATAAATGGGTTTATACTCCTTATTATAATAAACTGGACACAGGGTCCATTGATTATAGATTACACAGATAAAGCATACAGACAAAAACATTTAGTTCCATACAGCAGTAAAATGACATATAAAAACTTAAAGATTACCCACTAAAGAAAAGCTATTTTTAAAATATACCTATTCCAGATAGGCAATAAAAATATTATTCTAATTTCAAATTTCAAATACTGTATGAATACAACTTCCTTTAGTAATTTAGATAATTACTAAAAGACATATTTCATTAAAGAGTAGGGAAAATACTTACATTTAACTCTAATTTTTTTTTAACGTCTGGAAAGACTGTTGGAGGTTACAATCAATGATTGCAGGAAAAAAAAAAAAAAAAAAAAACCTCATGTAGAACAGCCAAATAAACATTTCATGTATAATCTGAAATGAATTTAAAATGCTGGGATTTTTACACCCCCAAAATATATGAGCATTCGCCTATATTTATACATTATATGAAGTCCTTTTGGTCATGACACTAAACATTCAGGTACTGGGCAGAGTACTTACGTAGTCTTCATAGAAAATAAGGGAATGTATAGAGAAATGGATATATGGAGGAAGGGATGAAGGGAGATCAGGCAATATGCATCTTTGTACATTAAGCCTCAGGAGTGTGCTAGGAACTATCACACCCATTATTTCATTTAATGCTAACAATTCCATGGGGCAGGTAGTATAATTTCTTCCCATTTTATAGATGATGTCTCATAGCTTCATAAGTGGCAGAACTGGGATCTGAACCAAGATGTGATGACAAAGTCTTGCAAACACAGCAGGACGTGTCAAAGTGCTCTTTTGCAGGAGGTTATCTAACTAGAAGATTGATGTGATTTTCCAAATTTATACTTCTCTTATTACTTAAACATTAGAAGGCACTCACTTCTCAATTTACTAAGAATGTTCACAGGTTTTCTTCTTTCTAATCTAGAAAAAAGCAATACTGATCATTCTCAAGCCACAAAGCAATATTTTCATTGCTCTATCACAAAAACAAAAAACAAACAAAAAAAAACTTCAGCAATACTCTGTAGCATCCCTATATACCATGAACACTTCTTCAAAAAAAAAAAAAAAGAGTATGGTCTGATTAAAACACAAAATATATGAAAGTGGAAACGCCCACAGAAAACTCAAGACCATCATTCATTGTATATTAGACTAAATTTCTCTTGCCAGACTTACAAGCGGCAAAGGGAGGGGGGAAGAAAAGGTGGCTTTTCAAAACCTGACTGACAAGCATGCTACTTCCCAAAAACAAGTTTGTTTATAGTTTCCTTTTCCTAAATCAGAGCACAAATCTATTGAAAGATTTAACTGAAATATTTCAAACTTCAAAATCATGTTCTAATAAAAAAAAAAAAACACTTCCATAATTATTTAACCACCCTCAGAATACACTGGTATTTCTCTCCTGGTAACCAATTAATGAGTGACATTGCTATTGCTTGAATAGTAATAAAACTAATATTAATCTGTATTGCATTCTAAATGGAAAATACAAAGCTATAATGCAACTGCTTTGAAAAATAAAACATCACCATTCAAAACAACTCAATATGTCCTTCAAAGATTAATTCCGGTTGCATTTACAAAAAGACAATCTTTGACACACATACCCATTAAAGAAACATTGAAACTCTAAGAATTTGGAAGGAGATTATTCTCAAACTATAATTCAACACAGTGACATTAAAATTATTATTTCTGTGGCCCAATGAGCTATTTTCCTTCCACTGAACACCCTCCACCTCTCATTCCCTCAACATTATAAACTTTTGCTGGGAAGTAATTTGAGGAGTTAAATATAATTTTATCACGTTTGTTCCAATATGAATAAAAACCATGGCTGTTTATATAACAATACTGTGAATTAAATGAAATAGCAAATAATTATGTTTAGAAATGTCATTATTACTTCACCATCACTGACTGCTTTAACAAATAAGTTTCTATTGGAAGCACTCTTCCAATAGAATTGTTAAAGACTGGGTCTGCAAAGTAAACCACTACCTTTAGCTCTTCACAGTGTTTTATTATAACACCATTATCACAACCGTTTACAATGCTCACTAAGAAAAGTAATTCCAGAATCAATTAGTGAGTGCATCATCATACAGAACTAATTTAATATTTTGTAGGACACATGTGTTCCTTATGTTTGTTAAGAAGTCTAACTAAAACTGGCATCCATTTTAATGAAAACACTTTTGACTTTTTTTCCCTAAAAGAGAAGTTGCCATTCACAGGAAAAATAAGAGTAAAGAATGAACATATACCAAACATATACCAGGAAAAAAAAAAAAAAAAAAAAAAAGAACCCCAAACAAAAACGTACATACAAAAGCCGTATTAGCCCAACACAGCTATTTCATCCTCACCTTGTAAATTCATATTAAAATAAGTGCCATTTTTGTTTTTAAAAAAAATTTTTTTAAGCGATTTTGTTTACCTTTTGCACAGACTGTTCAAGTGCTGCCAAGGTAACAGATTTTAAAACTGACAACTGGAGTACTTGGCAGTTGCCAAAACAACACAGCTGGATTCTTAAAGGGAAAGTACTCTTGTGTAATGTACACCTAATTACGGCTTTGGAGAACCTTCTCTTCACATAGTAATAGATGATAGGAGACATAGGGGGAACATGTTGCGCTAAACAAAACAAAAAACAAAAAAACTTGAAAAATTTTAGACATCTGTTTAAAAATACTTATACCATGATTAATACATCACACACAGCAGGCCTTTCTAATAGCGAATTGCAATACCGATCTTGTAAACTAAAATGCAGGTCAACCCTATGCTGCACTTCTTTAATCTACACACCGTTTCCCTACTGGACCATGACAGGGGACTCTCTTCGTATGCCAGGAATCACACTTCAGGTCTGAAGAACATTTTTATAGTTATACTTTCACGGGGGTGGGGGTGGGGGCGCGGAGGGGAGGCTGCTTTTCTAACTCAGAGATGCTCACCGCTTCCAAACTTGTTTGCACTATCTCATCCACGAATTCAATCCTCACCGCTCCAAGACAGAGAAAATAGAGCTAAAAGGCAAAGTTTGTAGCACGTAAAACCTTCCCCGCGAGCTGGGCTCTACTGGGACGCGAGGGCTGCTAGCTGTTCCCTCCGCAGGCCCTCCTTCCCCGCGACGGCTCCCTGCACCGGAGGGCGTCCGCGTCCCGCAGGTGCCCCCAGCCCCGGCCGCCTCCCTGCCTGCCCCAGATACCCACCCGGCCACTGACATTGCCACACACGCGCCACGACTTCGGACCTAAATGTTCCGCCCGCTTGGACCAACCTTCTCCCAAAGCAGAAGTGGGGGAACTTCTTCAAGTCCAGCCACAGCGCAGAGGAGAGCGCCCCCGGCACGAGGAGGAGCCGATCCCTTTGGGGGGACCCGGGCGCGGAGAGCAGGACGGAGGACAGGGCCTTCGGGCGTTCCGCCCGAGAGGGGCTCCGGGCCCCCAGGGAGCTCCCTCAACTTTCAAGGAGGCGTCCTCCACCACCGCCCCCCAGCCCCGAAGGCGGTGCGCGCACGGGAAGGCTCCTCGCGCCGAGCCCGCGCCGCCGAGCCCCGCTCCGCCGGCCCGCGACACCGGTCGGACCCCGGGCCCGCCCTCCAGGCACCCCGCCCCCACCTCCGCGGGCGCCTCGCCCCTCCGCGCCCACCCGCCCCCCCCCCCCCGCCGCCGCCGCCGCCGCCGCCGCCGCGCGCCCGGGACCCCGACCCCGGCCAGCCGGACGCCGCCCTGCCCCGCCGTCCCCCGAGCCCCGCGGGCGCCCCTCCTCGGCTGCGCCGCCCCCCCCCCGCCCCAGCGCCCCCCAGCCCCTACCCGGCCCCTCGCCGAGACGCCGCCCCCTCTGACACCGTCGACCCCGCGGACGGAGCCCCGCCGACGCGGCCCTCACCGTGTGTCCGGCGCAGCTGGCGAGCGCGCACACGCCGCAGCCCGGGCCAGCCACCAGCGCTCAGCGCCGCCCGGAGCCGCCTCCTTCAGCCCGGGACTCGCCGGGACATCCGCGCACGGATCCCCACACCGGGGCTATTTTTAGGAGACAGGCCCCGGCCAGACCGGAACTCGTTCCTGCCGCCGCGCACGCGCACTAGGCCGCGGTCCTCGGTGTCCCTCCGCCAGCCTCGCCTCTCCCTCCCTTCCCCTCAGCTCCCTCTCTGTTTTCCCCCTCGAGGCTTCTCCTCGAGAGCTGACTTATCCTCTCGGTGGGTCCTAGAGCACTTGGGATGGGAGAGACGAGGGTGCGGGCAAAGAGTCACAGTGGAAGCGAGGCCTGCTCCACAAGGACGCGAGGGGCGGACTATGTTTTTCCGGGTGGGTGAGGAGACGGATCACCCGGCACAGGAAGGAGATGACGGCGGTTTGGCGCCGGGGCTGCAGGCTGGAGCTCGCTTCCCTCTGAAGGACCGTGTTCTCCTGGAAGGGATACTGGTCACTTGATGAGGGCCCCGGCGCCTCCCAGGGCGGGGCGGCCCGCCGGCGTCGCGCCCCGCAGCCCCCGCCCTCCCCCGCTGCCTCCCGGACCAGCCCGCGGGGGCCGGGGCCGCGAGCCGCTTTAGTGACGCGGCGCGTGGCCAATCGCCGCGCGAGGCCTTCGGCCCCAGCCAACCGGGGACCCGGAGGGGCGGAGCCCCCGGGGGGGCGGGCGCCGGGGCGCGAGTTCCACAGACGCCCGGAGTGCGGTGCCAGGCGCAGTGGTTCGGGCCGGCCCAGACACCTCCCGCCGAGCTCCCGGGGCCGTGGCCAGCCTCGCTCTCCCGCCGCCGCCCCCGCCCCGCCCTCCGGACACACCGGCCCCCCGCAGACCTCTGCTCGCCACGCACGCGCCCACGCCCTCATTGTGGTCAGGGCCGCACCTGTGCTCGCGTCGGGGCGGCCGCCGGGTCACCCTCGCTGAACAGGCACAATGCGGCTGCTGGGACCCGGACCCGGACCCGGGCCCGGGGTGGGCAGCCCCCTTCAGCCCGGCGAGCCAAGCGCCCCCACGTCCCGGGAGAGACCCAACCTCCTCATCCGCGAGAGCGAATTACTAACAGGCGTGGCTGGAGTGTGCCGGGAGCGCCAAACTCTGTGGCGAACGCTTTGCATCTGAAAGCTCCTGTATTCCTGACAACACCCCCGTGAAGTAGATTCGTTCGGTTTCTATTCCCATTTTACAGAAGAGGAAAGGGAAGCTGAGCGCTACAGTGACCCTTTGAGGTCACAGTTTAAGGGGAGAGCACTGAGCACTCCCAACCACACTCTGCACACCGACTTTTCTGAGAGGAGTGCAAGGGACGTGTGCTAGGGACCGCCCTTCTGTTTTGTGGGGTCATTGGTTTTGTCGACAAAGGTCATTGAGAGGTGAGCCGTCGTTGGCCCTTGCGCTCTGAAGCCTGCTAACCTCTACAAGAGTTTCTACAGCCCCATGTGCACCCAGAGGTGCCTCTGCAATGAACACAAACCCAAATGGTTATTTTCGTTGGAAGATGAGAACCTCGGTACTGCAGCACTTTGAAACATAGTGATCCGGGTGGGTGAGCAGATGCACAGAGGCTGGGCAGAGGAACTGGGAAGTTACAAAGGAAGCTGCAGGCTCCCAGGCTTCCTCTCTCAAGGACGGGGCAAGGTACTGGGGAGAACCCAACACAAAAGCAGCACACAAACACCAGACCCTGGGAAATAAACCTGGAGCTCTCCTCAGAGCCCCGCGGTATCAGTTTTCAGAAGAACCAACAGCAAGGACTATAGGCAAGTTTTGAAAACAGATTAAAATTTGGTGTAAATCAGCAAATCATGTGGAAATGCATTTTTTTTTAACCTGCCAGAAGTGCAAAAGCAACTGCATTTGACTTCTCTGCTCCAGGAAAAGACTTTGATACTTTTCCTTCAAAGCCTAGGGTCTGACGTGGAGGGGACAGTGAGCAATAGCTCCCTCAATCCCCCCCCCCCCGCCCCTGCGCGCCCGCCCTTCACCCTGGAAGGAGAAGAGGGGCAATGAGAACACACTGTTCAAAAGAGATTTTCACCCTCTCATTGCTCCATCCCATCTCCCACTCCTCCAGAAGCTGACCCTCCTGGGACACAGAAGACTAGCTCAGACTGCTCACTCCCAGCTCATCCAAATGCTATATTGGTCACTCCAGAAAATAAGACAGTGAACTTGGTCGTGACTCCAGCCAAAGTCGAAATGAAAAAAATGATGGCATCACCTAAGAGAATACCTCTCTCCCCACTACCTCCTACATGTCAAAGGATTTGTTTAAGAATTTGAGGGAATGGTAAGAAAGGAAGGAAAGCAGGAAAAGAAAATGGAAGAAAGTTTAAAAATTGCAAACCACAGCTATTGTAAGATACATTAGCAAAACATAATCACTATTGTTTCTAATTAGAATAACCAATTTTAGGAAATCATCACAGCTTCTATTCAGGTCTCAGAAGCATGTATCTGAAGTTCGGTGTCTCCAGCAACTTCTAGCACTCAGCGTGGCATAGACCATGTGCAGAAAACACTTGTATGTGTCATTGGCTTCGAGGGGACTTCTGAGGAGCAGTGTCTGTCACTCCTCCAACTCTTTCTGGCCCCCTTAAGACACTCAGGTATCCAGGTATGTCTAAACTTAAAGGACTCAGCATTGTGGTAGGCACTGTGATATGGAGGTGAGGAAGAACAGCCCTTCCTTCAAAGGGGCTGGCAGGCCACCTTGAAACACAAGCCAGTCTGCTAACCACCAAGAGAGAGGCTTTCAAGGACACTAGAAGAGCACAGATGATGAGTATCTAAGAAGGGAAGAGAATTATATTTGGAGGGCTTCTTAGAGGAGGCAGTCCCACAGTGAAACTACAAAGTGTCCAGAAGGATGAAGAAGGGGCCCCCTCATTGTGTTTTTATCTGAAGAATAAAGCCCAAACTCCTTTGGAGGCAGGGATCCCTGACCACCTGGCCAGCATTGCCTTCGTCTCTTCCTGCCAGACACCTCACCATCCCCATTCAGAAATCTAAGAAGTTTCTGTGCACATGCCAGGCCGTTTCTTCCTGTGTGCACAGTAAACTCCCTTTATACCCATCAAGTCTCCTCTTGGGCACCGTTTTTCTCTAAGAGCATTTCTGTAGTATAACGCTGAGTTGAAGTACTTTATGTCTATCTCCTCCCCTTTGGAGAATGAGTTCCTTGAAGACAAGAACTGTGGTTCATTCCTTGTTGATCCAAAATGTCTAGCACAGTGCCTGGCACATAACAGACAATGAAATAAAGGTTCCTTAAATATTTATCAGCAGCAGCCTTTAGGCAAAAGGCCTGCTCTGTGCAGAGCCCCTTGAGTGTGGCCCAAGAGGGAAACCACAGCTAGTATAGTGCACCTGGAGTCTGGATTAAGTGCTCGGGAATCGTAGGAAATAAGGCTGGAAGGGTGAGATAGTGCAGAGCCTTAGTAAATCCAGCTAGACCATTTGGGAAATACAAATTTCAAATGGTGAAATAATTTGATCTATTTGACATTTTAGAAGGATCACTTAGGGCAATAGTTGGGAGTAGGTGAGAGAGAGCAGGACTGGAGGCAGGACGATCAGTCAGCCACTGCTGTCAGAGCACCCACACGCACACTTCCCGACTCCAGAGAGCTCCACAGACCATCCCACACATGCTGATACCTTCCTGTGTGACTCCATTGAGGGCACGCTTCGGCCCTATGAGAGGGCTGGGGTCAGCTTCCTCATGCCTCAGGAAGACAGTTCTTGAAGCATGTTCCCCAAAGTCTCTCAAGGGTGGGGTTGAAGGAGGTCACAGTGGATCGGGCCCCCAGTTGTCCTCTGTGGTGACCCACTCAGCCATGTTTCATTGTCTCTCCTCATTTCCTCTGTCCCACATCCCCACTCCCTCAGAGCCCTTGCCAGAATCACCTCCCAAATAAACAACCCACACCAAAATCCTTGTTTTGGGATCTGCTTTTTCATGAGACTCACTCAAGGCAGATGGTCACTAAGGTAAGGAAGAAAGAGGACCTACATGAAGACAGTTGCCTGACCTTAAGGAGAGAGCAGGAGCAAAACAAAGGGATAGCTGGAAGGTAGAACTGACCTTGCTTTTGCTGAATGTGGGATTAGGGAAGATAGGGGAGTCTCTGTTTGCCTCCCAGATTTTTTGGTTTGGGCTCCCAGGTGCATAATGGAAACATCATTTAAGTGGGGAACACTACTGGAGGAAGTTGAGATTGAGAGGGGTGGACATAAGGAGGAGGAGGAGTTCTGTTCATGCTGAAATCGAGGTGCCCACAGGACAAAAATGTCCTTGTTCTTGTGGGGTTGGAGAAAGATACGATTAGATGAGACTGAACAATGTAGGGAGGGCTTTCTAGAGGAGGAGAAATTTAAGCAGAATTTTGAAGTTGAAGTATATGGGCTGGAAAAAAAGAGAAATAGCTTATGGAGTGGAAGAAGGATGAGAGGGACAACAGTAAAAAAGAATGGGTTAATAGAAAAAAGTAAGTTTATCTCAACTAGGGAAACCTCGAAGGGTTTTTAATTTGTGAACTGCTAGAAGACAGGGGCCATGGCATGTTCAATCTTGTGTCCCTGATGCTTAAACAAAGTTAATATTTATTAAATATGGTGTGAACCAGGCAAAGTGTCCCAATAAGTACTTTTCATGAAGTCTCGATCTTGCATAAGTATATATGAAAAGATGTTCAACATCACTAATCATTCGGGAAATGCAAATCAAAATCCTAAGGAGATATCACCTTGCATTTGTCTGAATGGCTAGAATCAAAAAGACAAGAAATAATATGTGTTGGTGACAACGTGGAGAAAAATGAACCCTCGTGCACTGTTGGTGGAATGCACATTGGCATAGCCACTGTGGAGAATAATATAGAGTTTCCTCCAAAAATTAAAAATAAAAATATCATATGATCCAGTAATTCCACTGCTGGATATTAGAAAATGAAGGCACCAATTTGAAAAGATATATGTACCCCCGTGTTTATTGCACTGTTATTTTCAATAGCCAGGATATGGAAGCAACCCAGTGTCTATTGATCGATGAATGGAGAAAGAAGTGG